CACAGTTAGCTTTGGGTTATACACCGATTATCAAGCAGAGATTTTGCCAGAAATTTGGCTCAGTATAATTACACACTCTCCTTCATGGTCGCACATTATTGATGGCAACCAAAATGCAAATAAAATTGCGCATTTAAATTACTGATCTGACATATAAATCCTACATTGAGACTAAAACGAGCATTAGTTATAAATTCGTATCCAATCTAAATAATTCATAGACGACCAACTTGAACATCGGATGATCGACTTGTAATCAAGCAAAATATCAAGAAAATTTATCGCGCCATGAACGAAGTTAGGGGGGACCCTTATTATAAAAACAATGCCAGTTCAGTTCGGCGGAATCAGTTGGCATTCGGCTGACCACAATTTAATTTGTGTAGTTAGATAACGGGAACGAGCGTTAGTTAAAATCTCGATGTACATGACTATAGATCATCAATACAATACATTTTCACTTCGCATGTATTTGCATCGATTTTTTCGGATAGGGCAACTATATAAGTGATAAAATAACGACACGCTACAATCAACTATAATTCGCTTACTATGTCATTCATTGTTTTAATATTCGAGGTTTCCCTTCTACTTGTAGTAGGACACTCCGAGATCCCCTTTCTTCTCTGTAGTAAGGCATCGTTTTAGACAGTCAGCATTCCTCCATATATATTACACTTGATTGTTTTCTAAGAAGGATAAATATGTTGCCATTCTCCTGTCCCCAGGTCCTCATAACAAGGTGATTTCAAACATCCGGATTTCAAACTGCAGCGATTCATCGTGCAAGTTATATAGAGGACAATTTTCCAAAATATCTGTGGATATCGATCCACGTGAGCAATCTGTGCTTTAATAAACGCTTACCAAACTACCTTTTGTATACATGCTGATGATGAAGCACTTCAATTATCCCTTTTCTAACAGGCTACAATATCAGTCTCGGCACTGTCTATTTAACAGCAGTGGAACTTCAAACTATGAAAAGATACATTACTTTTGATTCAAGCACTTTGTGTTACTATAAAATGATCTCTCATTGTGAATTCGAGGGACATGGAAGTTATAACACATTTTCACATTTGATACCAGTTTTCCCTGACAGCGCTCTCGTAAGTGACATAATCAGTTGTTTAACCGACGACTGCTTGAAGTCTTTCGGATATCATGATTGAGCAAGGTTAATTGCGTTGGCGTAATGGTGTCAGTAACATAAATTCATCATTGTAGAACAGAAAAGCATAAGGGGCATGTTGCAGCATGAATATTTAAAAGAACCAGGTAACAAGTGCTTTATTGATGGTCTGTAGATAAGGAGACCAAGCCGAATTTCATCCTCAAACAAGTCAAGGGAAACACTTATTTTTTAGCGATATTTAAATTAAAACAACATTTACCCAAACCCTGACTAAATGGTGTTTACGGGCACTGTTTTAGAAAAAAGCTAACGCCAATGACATAAAAATTATTTTATGATCTTGTTTATACTTGAAGTGTTATGTTACTTCTTTTTCAGGGAGATCAGATATTAGAATGGACATTTAAACAAAATGGTCAAACGGAGACTTGCGCAATTTTTATGGTTATAGTTAACTAACGATTTTATAGAGTTCTGTGAATCAATACCGTGTAGCGAATACATGTATTTCGTATATGTTTTTTGCATAATAAACATGAAATTCTCCAGATGCTTTTTATTAGCACGCATTACGAGTACAACCTGCTCTGGTACTACAATGGAGCTCATAGAAGTATTTACCTTTAAATCGCTTTAACGTTACACTATTATATGTGGAGTAAAGCTGGCTTCATTTTTCGCACGCTCGCCTGTTATGATCTAGACTGTACTCGACAGTAGGCCCTAGTGTACGATGCACATTACGTATCTAAAATTATCTAAACACTAATCAAATTTGCGTCAAACATACTGTATCCCACAAATGCTTCGTGGGAATTTTGAATCTGCTAAATAGCCAAGGTAGCTGATTGGTCAAAGCGTGAGCAATATCTTCAGAATAGCGGAGACTCCGATAATTTCCTATGCGTCGTGAGTTTCGAAGTGAGGCCGAAGCGAGGCACTACATTTGCAATCACCGTTGACAAAGTGAAATCGTGTACTTAAACTTGCTGTCATAATAACGATAATCGGCATCCACACAGTGAGCAATGAACTTATACAATCTAAGGAGCGTAGCTTTACAAGCCCCGTTATATAGTTGGTGGGACTATCAAAAAAAAGATATTGCTAATAAAGCTTGTTACACATCTAGTACTTTAAATATGAAAATAAGGACTTATCGTTTGCTCCGCCGTAGTCCTGCAATCCACTTAGATTCACAGCACTCGCAGTTAACATCAAATAATTTCATTGTAAGCTCCAGGTGTAAGATCAAGACGTAGCGCTAAGTGACAAATTGGATGAGTGCATCATCCGACCGTCTTTTATATATTGTTAGTGTCTGTGCAGAGACGACCGATACTGGGAGAGCATTCTAAGAGTGACAAACACAAACAGAAAAAATTTTTGCGGCACTTCAGGTTGCTATACTGCACAGTGGGTTTCATTGATTGGCCCCTCAGGGTTGTATTGGGGCTGAGTCGCAGTTAAGAGCGGCACACATGATGTGGGTCTCGAAGAATCGAGTACATAAACAGATTGCTTGGAGCAACCCAAGTCATCTTGAACCAGTATTCATCTCGGCAGACGTTCGATAGATGACCCACACATATTTTAATTGCATCATATTCACCGCTACCATCCTACGGGACATGTCAAGCACTTGCTTTTATCTCGTGATAAATCATTGTTCATTGTTCAGAACAGCCAAATCACCTTCGAAAGGTGATCGTAGGAGAATATTCGTTCTGAGCAGGTATGAGTAGCTGCTCTGATGTCGGATGGAAAGCACCTTGCAGTTAGTGACGTTGAAATGCAATACGTTTTGGCTTAACAATTGATATGCCATATTTAGATCACTGAAGCAGATGCTGGTCTGCGTACACCTGGGTGCTGCACCAGATCATGATATCGTCGTCAATGATTAAGAAGTTTGAAACGATTCCCTGTGCAAGGTCCTAAGTAAATACCAATAATAAACGTGGACCTAGAACTGAGGCTTACCGCACATTACACTCGACTAGTATGGCGCCAGACAAAGATCTCCGAACTCTGACCACTAAGGGCCGTTGAAGTAGAAAGTTAGCAATCCACCTTGAAAGAAGATCGCCGATCCCGTAATGCTGGAGCTTCGATAGTAGCAGCCGATAGACTAGACGATCGAAAGTCTTCGAAAAATCCAGGCAGGTCACACCAACACCTTCTCCGGCGTTAGCTGACCCGGTCCAACTACTGTGTGCGATAAGTAACTTTGTTGTGCATGAGCGCTCACGGCGGAAACCATGCATCAAAGGCGTGATGAGGTTACAGTTTTCCAGATAACACACCAGTGCTTCAAAAACTATGGATTCCATGACCTTGGATATTAGTAGGGATAGCGGGTATACTGGGCGGTTATTGAGGGCCCAATTCTGCTTCCACGTTTGTGAATCGGGGTTAGGATCCCAAGATTCCACATGGCGGGAACCTGATTCTTGTCTAAGCAGCGCTGAAAATGCTGAGCCCAAGATCTTGCCGGTTGGCTTGCTGTTGCTTCCAGCGCCTCTGGACGAATGGTGTCGACACCCGGTGAGCTGTGTTTGCGTGGAGACGTCAGCTTTTGCAATAAAGCCTCTGCGGTAAAAGTGATGTGGGTTAGTCTTGGCGAGGAGATGACATAGGTTGGAAAATCGCTTGGTTGCAAGACCCTCTGAGACGTCGGGGCATATTGCATCCGCAGCGCGCTTGCTGCTTCCACAGCTGTTCTTGTTGGGTCATCAACCGTCCTGAGTAGAGGAAATCCTTGCTTTATTTTCGTAGGCCATTAACGTGCTTGCACAGCAGTTTGTGCTTAGCACTGAAGGCTTTTGCGATGTTCTGTTGATAGCCGGCTTTGTCTTCTATTAGCAGTTGAGTGCAGCTGTTTTGCTGGGCTACGTTGTTGTCCTAAGTTTTTGGTGCTACGGCTTCTCTGTACACTTGCCAGGCTCCGTTGCGTACTGTAGGCCATTTTCGATTTCTGCTCCTAACGGAAGAATCTGATGTAAACTTATTGCAAACTCATATCTCTAAAATCTCTGTATTCAGCTGGCTGAGTTTGCTGAGGTACCCGAGCCAGGCGATTTCCGGGGTTCTTCAGCAAGGAACAACCAATTTGTAGCGCTGACGATCTGGGCTAAGCGATCGTAGCTTGTGATGGTCCGCACAGTCTCATCGATCTCACTCTAACATTTCGCATAACAGACTGCTGAAACTGATTAATTTGGAATAACATCGACCCAAAGGAGGGAAATACGGACCTCCATTGGAACTGGAAGCCCCATACTACTGTCGAATAAGATACGTTGACAATGGCGTTTGATTAGTCGTTAAAACTTATTGGTTCCATCGACGTCTTTCCGATCAATGTTCAAACGCTTATGGTTCACTGCGAGTCTTGTGTGCACTGAATTTCCTGCATGTACATGGTTGTAACTTTTGATGCCCTGGTGAAGCAGGTTAAGACGGCTTATTGTTCACATGTTAAACAAAGCGAATAAGCGATACGGCGGGAGTAACTGTGACTCTCTTATCTTCCATCCCTGGTACCTATTGCTTTGCCTGCTGCTCCAGCTGTTGGTAATTTTTGACAGCCTTAGAACTGGTCCGTTTGGTTCACCGCCTTAGTCGGGGAGGTAGGAGATAGTAGTTACACGTCCTGGGCGCCTCCGCGTGGCGATCGCTGGATAGGAGATCGGCTTGCTTATCCCTGAACAAAGATCCAAGGCAACCCAAGTAGGCATAACTACAATACTTGGGTCAATTTGCGGTTATGTAACCTTTCAAGAAGTCAAATTCAGGCCAAATTTCTAGCTTGGTTGAAAACCGCAGCGACTATGCTCTTGTCGTCCCCTATTTGGTTCCGATGGCATTCGGAAGGGGAGAGCGATTGGGTGTGGAGCGCGAAGTGGATTTGGATGCTATAATTTTAATGAAAGATCAGGTGGTTGAGGGTCATAGCATTTCTGGTGATAATGTTGATGTCCGGGACGGGTATGTCTGCTTTCATGGTGCAGCCTTCGGTACCAAGCGTTGGCTTGGCCAACATAAAAGGAACGGACGTCCCGTGGAGCTCAATGAGAAGAGGTTACGTATGATACCAAGACGAGGACATTGTTCCGAGAAAGATGCCACACGGTTGTTAGCGCAAACAAGCCAGTATCTTCCGGAGTGCGCGAACAGAGTGGAAGTCTATCATCGGCTCGCTGCTCAGTTTCCTGGGCGGAGTGTCGAAGGCATCATGAAGCAGTTGATGAAGATGCGCTGGCCCAGACGAAGGCCTAATTCGGAAGGTTTGCTTTAGAACTTATCGGTGGTGGTCCGTGTTCTTCACATTGTGCTGCTTGAAGTTGGTGCGGAGTTGACGGAAAGTGAGTTGGTGCCCGATAGGACGACCACTATCCGCGATCCCGATCAAACCGAAGCGACCCTTGAGCCAAACGACTTGCGGTTCTCCTATGATGAACAGTTCCGTTCATTCCTGGAGAATCCTTGGTGCGATTCTGATCCGGCCGGGGTGTTCGGTGAGTTGGTTGATTTAATACCGCCGAACGGGGAGGAGGCTGCCTCTTCCAAGTTGGCTCTGGAAGCTACCAAGTCGCCGATGTAGCAGGGTGCCTCTCCTAAGGCTGGTCTGTAGGTTGCCAAATGGTTTTCGTAATACTTGCCCATCTCATTACGGCATTGAATCGCTTTTTGCACAGTGATGACCTGGCTGGTCAACTGCTTCAGCTTGCTGAAGAGTTGCAAGACGGTACGCTCGCAAAAGTGGAGGCGTGATGCGTCTGTGCGAGGTTACAGAGCAATTCTTTCTACTCAAAGGGCATCCCCCTATGCAACGGCGAACCTGTACTGCTGGTGGCTGGCGGGCGATCCGGAAGACCAACGATACAGCAATCCAGAAACTCTGGCTTACGAAACGTGAAGATGCTGCACAGGAGATCTTTCATGGTAGTTGGCTAAGCGCGTACAGATCACAACGAGTGGGGCTTGATCAGACGATGATTGAGTGTTGGTGCTCTGTATTTGGTGTGTAAAGTGCGGTGGATGGGTGACCGTTCCCATAAAGGAAGGTCATGATTATGTTCTGATTGAGCAATTGTCTGCGGCAGATGTCGCTTATGCCCTGCGGAATGCCGGAAGTACGGACCCAGGACCAAATATAATGTCGGTGGTGGACCGTACATCCTTGGATGTGACGGCGATGGTACAGTTATTCAATCTTATAGTGGTGCCTGCGTGCCCTCCTGCATCTTTTGCGACAGCATGGCTGACGTTGGTGCCCAAGGCACCCGACCCCAACACGCCGTAAGAATATCGCTCTATCGCAGTTTCTTCGATTGTGCTGCGGGCCTTTCATAAAATTTGGCTAAAACATGGAGGTCACTTTTGACTCTGTCTTCACTTCAAGTCGGGTTACAAAAGCGGGATGGGTGTCTTGAGGCCTCATATGTCCTACAGTGCATTTTGAGAAGGGTTCAGTCCGACTGCCTAAATACAGCGGTGACTTTCTTGGAAGTTGCCAAAACTTCGACACCGTGTCCGTTGACACAATTATTGGAGCCGCAATAGCAAATGCAGCCCTACCGGAGCTTCAGCATTATTTTCTTGCGTTATACACCTCCACAAAGTTGCTCCTTTGCGAAGGTGTGTTGGATTGTCACAGAGGTGTAGGGCAGGGAAATCTTCTGTCACCTCGCTGTTTCATCATGGTTATGCACGAGGTGCTTGCTGCTACCCTGTCTAATCGGGGGTGGGGCTATGTGGCGAAGAGACTAGTGCTTTGCATATGCTGATGACCTTGTGTTTTTCGCCTCCTCCCAAGAAGCGTTCTTTGCCAAGCTGGTGGCTTTGAAGCAGGCTCTTTCGGCGGCAGGTATATCGTTGAACCTCTCGAAGTGTCGGGTTACTATGGTCCAGAATCTCAGCAAACAGAAGAGCTTCGTCCTGGTGCCCCAAACTTATCCCCTGGTGGGAAGTGAGATGAGACCGGTCGCAGTGGGGGGATGAGATCCGTTACCTTGGTTTGTGCATCAACTGGAATAAGTGATGACAGGTAAAAAGCACGGCTGTTCTTACTGAGTGACTCTACGAGATCTCTCGTACACCTTTGAAACTAATACAATGTCTGGCTATGGTGCGTGACATCGTAATTCCCAAGTTGTTTCATGAGTTGGTTCTGGGGAACACTCTTTGGAATACCATTACAACATATGGATAAGATGGTGTAAGCCAAAGTGCAAGATTGGACGCGTCACACGAAAGATGTTTCGCTTCCATTCTTTTACACGAGTCGGGGCCTGGAGATCACAGTTTGCTGTCGTGGGGCATCATTGTTCCTTTTGCTCAAAGAGCCAAGTTCGTTCGGCTATGTTCTTCGTCGTCGCAGTTGGTGCGCGGGATCCTGGAGACAGAGGCTTGCAAGATTGACATCAGAAGTGCTAGTGTTCCAGTCCGCCTAATGGGGACTGTGTTAGAGGATAAGAAGACCGTTCAGGGTCTCTAGAGAGAGAAAATTGAGTCTACGTGTGACTGCACAGGTTTACAACTGGACAACCAGAAGGTGGCTAGTAGCCAATGGACCTCATAGGGCCGCAGGTTCTTCCCCCGCCACTTTATTCGTGCTACCAAGTTAAAGGGCAGACTTTTGCTTACCAAGGTGAGGAGCTCCAGGAGGGTTTTTTGGAAGGCTGATGATGTCAAGTGCCGTGGTGGTTGTGAGAAGCCAGAGTCTATCGTGTACATCTTGCAGAAATCTTGCCTTACCCATGACGCCCAGTGTTTGAGACACAACCGAGTAGTACGGAAAATTGCCTAGCTTGCCAAGCGGAAGCATGCGACATTATAGGTTGAGCCCATCATTCCATTAGCGGTGAGATACTGTAATCCGGACCTCATAATTTGCGCCAGAAGTTCTATAGTTGTTACAGACGTGGATATCACATCGGCGCACAGACAAGAGCTTTCATACCGTGAGAAAGTTGCCAAGTAATATGAAGGCATGCAATTCGAGACGGGCCTACCATGGTGGCAAGGGGGTGCAGCTGACCAATGTGGTGCATTGGCTAATCAACATTTCGGACCGTGGATAATTTGGAAGGCCTCTAATGTAACTCTTCGTCGTTTTGGATTATTAGACTGTGATATTTCTGATGTAGCTCTAGTGGTCATCGAGGGGTCACTGAAGTATTATGACGTATATATGCGGGGTACCTAATACTCTCTTGCTTTCTGTCCGTTACACGTAGCGAGGATAGACCCTGTGAAGACGCCGAAATTTTCGGGAGGCAGACGCTGATGGGTAACAGTGTGAGACCACATTACCTTCACAGGACGCTCTCTGAGCATCGGGCAGATAAATTAATACGGATGTTCTTTGGAAGGATTACAAGTGGTGTTCTCCCTATCCCCATGAACCGTCTTAGACATTCCCTGGAACTTGAACTTTCACTTCAGTGCATTTTAGCTTTTCTTGTACCCCACTTTGAGTTCGCAGCCCAGTATTCTTATATTAATTGGGCAGCATGTGTCAAACCTAAGTCCAAAAATATATGGTAAATGTGTACGGTGGCTACGTTGATCTACGGTCAGCAGCTGTTTGATGACTCCTTGAATAAAACGCGGAGTTGCCTTTAGTTTGAGTCTACAAATGTTGCTGTTTGGTTCGTGCATCGGAAAATTTCTCGATTTTGCTTTTGCGGGAACGGAGCGAAAGCCGCCCTGTGGAGACAAGAGATGATACACACAAGCTAGCTACGAAAAATGAAATGCAGTAGATAGCGCTGATGAATGAAGAGTGAACAATGATTTATAACGGGCGAAAAAGCAGATGCTTTACATGTGCCGAAGGATGGTTAGAGTGAGAAAAGATGAGTCAAGAGACAATGGAATCATCGGTTCGGGCGATTACAGATTTAGCTGCACTGCCGTATAAAGGGAGTTTGCAATTAGAATTTTCGCACACCATGCAATAACGAGAGGGTTTATTGATCATGCAATAAGCGAGAAAATAGACAAATAGCATGGACCACTCTTACTCGTGTGCAGCTATCTTGGGTCGACGGGATACCGAAATGCAGTTTCCACAGCAGTTACATTTATCAAATTGTGTGCAAGGGGTTTTGAGCGACTCACAAGTAGGGTTATGGCACCGTTCACTGTCTGTTGTGCATTAATGCCAGCATCCGATGGCCATGGGTTATAGCAAGTAGTGTAGATGTGGAAGAGTATCTTCAAAGTGCTTTTTGAAAAGGGATAGGGTGGGGGCACTAATTTCATGTTCCGGGAGGGCGTTCCAAGACTGTGACACTTGAAGGGAAGAAAAGTCTCTTCGACACTACAGTTGGCTGTACTGCGTGACCATATTAAACTGATGACTTCTTAGCGGGGTGTTTTGACTGCGTATCAGAAGTGAATGGCATGGTTGGTTGGGGTTTCTCAGGATCAGGTACACCATTATGAGATCGCCCCTTAGACTCCGATAATGTCCACTGTATATTTTGTGAATCTTCAGCCTGAGTTGGTAGGGTGGCTGCTCAAACATCTGACGCTCTTCGTTGCCCTAAGTGGTGCTGTATCGAGCGCGGTGAGATGGTGCTTGAGCCAGGGTTGCCACGCTTGTATAGCGCATTCCGCGTGCGGCCACACGTACGCACGAAGCATTTTTAGAAAGACTGAAGGGTAAACTTCCCGAAAGCTCTGCGAAGAAGGCCGAGGTACTGGTTTGCTTTCTTAGATGCTTATTCAGTCTGCTTCATACAACCGAGGTCATCTTGAACTAGCACGCCGAGATCGCACTCGTGGATATCCCGCTGAAGAATTGGTGGTATTAGTCGGTACTATACTATTGTACCGTATGCTGAGAATTTTGCACTTGGTGACGTTGAAATGCAGCATGTTCTCGATGGACCATGTGTACGCTTCTTCCAGATCCGTCTGTAAAGCTGTGTGATCATCCACCCCATACCCCATACCTTAAGATCACCACCAAATTGCAAACAGTTAGAAGCTAGCAGACTTGCGAGATCATTTTTGAAAACCAGGAACAGGCGGGGTCCAAATTCCGGACCCGGAGGTACGCCGCACTGAACATCGATAGATTCCGATGGGTTGTTTCGTAGTCACACATCCAGGTGACGTTGCATGAGAGAGTCTCCCATCCAGCCCAGAACAAGATCGCCGATTCCATATTTCGGGATTTTGTGGAGGAGAATGCGATGGTCTAGACAATCGAATGCCTTTGAGAAATCCAGGTAGGCCGCGTCGACTCCTACAACAGTGTCCATAGATTCCGTCCAGCTTGTGCGAGCAAACAGCATATTAGTGGTACAGAACCGATTTTGGCGAAATCCTTGCTGCTTCTCAACGAGAATTTTGTTGTTTCACAGGTACCGCATCGAAGCCTCAGCTACAATGGACTCCATAACCTTGGTGATCCCAGGAAGTAGTGTTATCGGGTGATGATTTTTTGGTTCAACACGGCTGCCACTTCTGTAGATTGGCGTGATGATTCCGTGCTTCCACGTCGTAAGGACGTATATCTCGCATAGACATGTTGAAAGAAGAATGCTAGTGGTCCTGCCAAACTCATTGCAACAACTTTCAACACCT